GTCAGAAGAATCGTGAAAATTATGTCATTGACATTAATACATAACTGAAAAGTGAATTAATGTCAGAAATGTTACAAATCACGCAAGCTTTACGGTGACGTGTAATAAGGTCAACGGAAATGATGTCCTTGGACACAGTTTCTAATCTTCCGGGCTGGTTTGAATTGTCATAAAATTGTCGCACATTGTTATAAATAAACTTTCATTTAAATTTTTACGTTAACTTTGTTACTTTTGTTCATCTCATAATTTCAGAATCATATTTATGACGAAACAAAGACTCATTTTAGACTTCAATTCTGAGCACTCAGAAAATTGTTTTAAAGGTTTCGTTGAGCCAAACATATACTCTCTACTCTCCCGTTCCATTCATCGTACTTGGAGATTTTAATGCCTGGATTTCTCTGTGGTGCTCTGAAAAGTCCAAGAAAAGATGTACCACAGTTGAAAGTGTAATTTTCGCCAAAAACTTAATTATTTTGAATGGCGGCTGTCCTACTAATTTCTCAACCCACAACACATTCACAAACATTCATTTAACGCTAGTATCTACACAGTTAAGCTCCAAATGAAGCTGGGGAACGCTTAGTAAATCCAAGCTAAATCCTTGTCAACTCACCAAGTCCCCGAATTTTAATACCGATGCTGCCACCAGAGATATTTATCAAACCACCTGCGAAAAAAACTTTAAAAACTGGAACATCTCTAATGTTCATCAACTTGCGGCCAACATCACAAAAGCAATCAGGCAAGCGGCTAATGTGGCCATTCCACAAAGCAATATAACTCCTTAGAAAATCTACGCGTCTCCACCAATCCCTAATTTAATTGCCTACACAAAGGCCAAAGCAATTTAAAAAAGTGTCAAGGCAGCGAAAGCAGAACCGATTGCAAATATTTCTGCAGACATCAACCCCTATTACTCACCCAAAAAAATTTGGTCGAAAATCAAAGCCCTTGCCGGAAACTCTCATTAAAGTACTCCAAATTTACAATCAGCTATTTTCCTCACCCTTAGAAATAGCCAACATTTTCGGCGAAACCTGGTCGAATTACGCTCATGACTCGCAACTTCCATACAGAGTAGGTACATCAATAGCACAATACTCCCAATCTTACAACTCATCCAGAGTGACAAGTGATGCACCATACTTAGAAAAGGATTTCAGATATATAGAACTCGAACACGCCCCCCAAAATTTTCTTGCTACGAAATCTCCCAAACCGGTTCAAAAATATTTTATTAGTCCTATACAACAAAATCCTTCAAAACGGCACATATCCCCAAACTTGGCTATCTGCTACCCTCCTTCCGATCCCAAAACACAACCAAGCTATAGAAAATATTAACAGTTACCGGCTGATCTCCGTTTTGTCCTGTTTAAGTAAAATCCTTTAGAAAATGCTCACAAAACGATTAATGTGGTTCTTAACCAAAAACATCTTGATAAGCCACAACCAAGTCGCATTCAAAAAGAATCACGGCGCCCTTCTTTCGAACGCGTAGAGGCCCACGCAGTCCTTCATGGGAAATAGGCAGCAGAATGTACAACTTAATGAATGCCTTTCTCTCCATACGTAGATTCAAAAGTCAATGGTACCTACTTTGAACCTTTTTCACTTGCCAATGATATTACCTAAGGCTCATGGGAAATAGGCAGCAAAATGTACAACGTAATTAAGGCCTTTGTCTCCATACGTAGATTCCAATCCAAAGTCAATGGTACCTACTTTGAACCTTTCTCACTTGCCAATGAAATTACCTAAAGCTCCCCTCTTTCGGTCGCTATTTATAAGAGCCTTTCAAAAACTCAACATAATGATCTCCAAATATCGCGGCCTACATCTTAATGTCTATGGTGATGATGCAGTATTTTATGCTAGTCAACGTAAGCGGTGATTGGTGATTTTCGTTACTGGTGAGATTCTTCTTTGTCTGTATAGTGCTTTTGATTTTCCTAAAATTTTTTGTAGAATGCACGCCATTAATTTTAAAAATTAATGGAACGAGTTTAGCAGCAAACACATAGTGAATATTGTAAAATCACCATATATATGTTCAATTATACTGCACAGGGTATGCTGTTCTAAATAGCTGCAGTTTTAATTTATCAATTGTGTTAAATGAGTTTTACATTTATTTGTTAAAAAAAAATCATATTTTTACTATTCTTGAAACATAAATATCGAAGAGAAATTAGCGGTAATTTAAGAAGCATTAAAAGTCAACTTTCTCTAATCTTTTTCTCAAATCGCAGTAGCACTAAAAAAAATGTGGAATTGGCTTTTTGTAAATAGGTAGCATGCCACTTCATCTTCGAGGGATTTTAGTATTGTAAATGGTGCCGTTCAAGAATGTCAATGAAATTAATGTTAATTGACATAAGTTCTCTTTTGTAAGGGTATTGACATTATTACACAGGCCAAAGTGAAATAATGTCAGAAGAATCGTGAAAATTATGTCATTGACATTAATACATAACTGAAAAGTGAATTAATGTCAGAAATGTTACAAATCACGCAAGCTTTACGGTGACGTGTAATAAGGTCAACGGAAATGATGTCCTTGGACACAGTTTCTAATCTTCCGGGCTGGTTTGAATTCTCATAAAATTGTCGCACATTGTTATAAATAAACTTTCATTTAAATTTTTACGTTAACTTTGTTACTTTTGTTCATCTCATAATTTCAGAATCATATTTATGACGAAACAAAGACTCATTTTAGACTTCAATTCTGAGCACTCAGAAAATTGTTTTAAAGGTTTCGTTGAGCCAAACATATACTCTCTACTCTCCCGTTCCATTCATCGTACTTGGAGATTTTAATGCCTGGATTTCTCTGTGGTGCTCTGAAAAGTCCAAGAAAAGATGTACCACAGTTGAAAGTGTAATTTTCGCCAAAAACTTAATTATTTTGAATGGCGGCTGTCCTACTAATTTCTCAACCCACAACACATTCACAAACATTCATTTAACGCTAGTATCTACACAGTTAAGCTCCAAATGAAGCTGGGGAACGCTTAGTAAATCCAAGCTAAATCCTTGTCAACTCACCAAGTCCCCGAATTTTAATACCGATGCTGCCACCAGAGATATTTATCAAACCACCTGCGAAAAAAACTTTAAAAACTGGAACATCTCTAATGTTCATCAACTTGCGGCCAACATCACAAAAGCAATCAGGCAAGCGGCTAATGTGGCCATTCCACAAAGCAATATAACTCCTTAGAAAATCTACGCGTCTCCACCAATCCCTAATTTAATTGCCTACACAAAGGCCAAAGCAATTTAAAAAAGTGTCAAGGCAGCGAAAGCAGAACCGATTGCAAATATTTCTGCAGACATCAACCCCTATTACTCACCCAAAAAAATTTGGTCGAAAATCAAAGCCCTTGCCGGAAACTCTCATTAAAGTACTCCAACTTTACAATCAGCTATTTTCCTCACCCTTAGAAATAGCCAACATTTTCGGCGAAACCTGGTCGAATTACGCTCATGACTCGCAACTTCCATACAGAGTAGGTACATCAATAGCACAATACTCCCAATCTTACAACTCATCCAGAGTGACAAGTGATGCACCATACTTAGAAAAGGATTTCAGATATATAGAACTCGAACACGCCCCCCAAAATTTTCTTGCTACGAAATCTCCCAAACCGGTTCAAAAATATTTTATTAGTCCTATACAACAAAATCCTTCAAAACGGCACATATCCCCAAACTTGGCTATCTGCTACCCTCCTTCCGATCCCAAAACACAACCAAGCTATAGAAAATATTAACAGTTACCGGCTGATCTCCGTTTTGTCCTGTTTAAGTAAAATCCTTTAGAAAATGCTCACAAAACGATTAATGTGGTTCTTAACCAAAAACATCTTGATAAGCCACAACCAAGTCGCATTCAAAAAGAATCACGGCGCCCTTCTTTCGAACGCGTAGAGGCCCACGCAGTCCTTCATGGGAAATAGGCAGCAGAATGTACAACTTAATGAATGCCTTTCTCTCCATACGTAGATTCAAAAGTCAATGGTACCTACTTTGAACCTTTTTCACTTGCCAATGATATTACCTAAGGCTCATGGGAAATAGGCAGCAAAATGTACAACGTAATTAAGGCCTTTGTCTCCATACGTAGATTCCAATCCAAAGTCAATGGTACCTACTTTGAACCTTTCTCACTTGCCAATGAAATTACCTAAAGCTCCCCTCTTTCGGTCGCTATTTATAAGAGCCTTTCAAAAACTCAACATAATGATCTCCAAATATCGCGGCCTACATCTTAATGTCTATGGTGATGATGCAGTATTTTATGCTAGTCAACGTAAGCGGTGATTGGTGATTTTCGTTACTGGTGAGATTCTTCTTTGTCTGTATAGTGCTTTTGATTTTCCTAAAATTTTTTGTAGAATGCACGCCATTAATTTTAAAAATTAATGGAACGAGTTTAGCAGCAAACACATAGTGAATATTGTAAAATCACCATATATATGTTCAATTATACTGCACAGGGTATGCTGTTCTAAATAGCTGCAGTTTTAATTTATCAATTGTGTTAAATGAGTTTTACATTTATTTGTTAAAAAAAAATCATATTTTTACTATTCTTGAAACATAAATATCGAAGAGAAATTAGCGGTAATTTAAGAAGCATTAAAAGTCAACTTTCTCTAATCTTTTTCTCAAATCGCAGTAGCACTAAAAATCACGCTGATTAATTAAAAAATCGCAGTCATTGAATTCACTGATAATGAAAAAACACCATACGCCCATCACTAATAGACACCCTATTTTTATTTTTATTAAATTACATTGGATCTAGCAAGTTTTCTAAAAAAATAAAAAAAAAAAAAATATATGAGTGCAGTGTAAAATTAGAATACGAGAGAATTAGATGAATTCGTTTGTGTATTCTAATATTGGTAGGAGGTTGAAAACTTCCTATAATTTTTCGTTTTAAATTTTGTTTAATTTTTCAATTTTTCATTATTATTTAGACTCATGCTCAAATTTCTACAAAAGAGACGAGTGGCGTATGGTAATTAAATATGAAATAAATGCTTCAGTTTCGATGTGATTAATATATCTTTGAAATACAGCATCAGTCGATTTGGTGCGACTTCTGGACATTTTTAAATTAAATTTGATGCCGAGGAACTCAATCAAAGGGGGCGCATTCTCATTAAAATCATCGGAATTTTATTGTTGTCCTTTTAAGGATCCGCGTGGTGTGTATTTTATTAAACTCTCGTGGATGATAATGAAAACCAGACTTTTTCGGGTAAGCAAATTGTTCGAGTCTTCGAATGTTATGTTTTGTTATACCCGAACGCACTTGTGCGGAAGGGTACTAGAGCTCTGTAACAGCCTAAGGCAATAGATATAGACAAATGTATACAAAAATGCTCAGAATAAAAGAGAAATCGATAAGCCATGACTGTCTGTCCGTCCGTCCATCCGCAGTAAGGCGCCTTTAAATAAAAATATAGCATCTAGCAACAGCAACAGTGCAAGTATCTTCCGTCGCACAGCAGCTAGCTTGATTAAGACTCTAATAGTGATGTGGACATGTTAACATATACAGGCAGGTAATGCAATTCACTTCCGAGTGAATTTCACTCAAACTCGCTTTCAATTCCAATCGGCATGAAATTCTCTCGGAAGTGAATTGCAGACAGTGTTGCCAGAATTTTGTATAGCGCATCCCCATATCGAGCCGCAGTTATCCCCAAAAAATCCCAATTTTTCTTCTAAATCCCCATTTAAATCCCCTTAAGTAAGAAAAAAAAAAAATATGTATTCGCATTTCTGTTACTTCGTTTTAATTACAGTTTTGAATACTTTTATATTACAAATTTTCACAGTTGTATATTTGTACATATATATGAGATCATTTGGTTATTTACGTATAGCGGTTTCTTATTTTTTATGGTTTTTTGAGACTATTTAACAACATACCTTCGGCCCAAGGTTCCTATTCCCATTGCTGTCTGTAAGTTCGTCAATTTTTTTTGTGCGCTTGCCACTTTGTAAAATTCCTTTTACACTAAGGAAATCAGAAATATATGTAGTCCATTCGGTAAATGCCAATCACAGCGATCCTTTTACAATTTGGTGTAATGAAGTGAGAGAAAATTGTGTGTTCAGCCAAAGCCATTAAAACAGGCATTTTCCACGAATAATACTTTGACAACGAAAATCTTTGTTTGAGAAATTTTTAAGGGCAGGCAGTAAAATATATGTATTTTAATTTCAATATGAAAATTTTAAACCAAACAAAAATCCCCATCAAATCCCCACATCCCCAAACGAAAAAACCTATCCCCAAATGGTTTCAGAAATCCCCAAAATGGGGCGAAATCCCCACATCTGGCAACTCTGATTGCAGAACCTGCCTGATAGTTTCCGATATGTTTTCGCATAGGAAATATAAGAAAGTAATCATATTTTGTTCGCGTTTTAAAGTAGTCAATGGAGTAGAAAAAATGTTGAAGTGTCGAGTTATCATGTGTTCGATTTTGCGCGAGTGCACTGTACTTACGAAATGCTCCTCTGTAATGTTAGCGGCCCAACTCGTGCCTCTACACCAGTTTATTGTTACCCGACCTAGATACTCCATGGAGTAATCCCTTGAATAAGCTTTGTGCTACTATGATATAATACAGGTACATATATACAGTGGTGGAAAAATAAATAGGGACACGTTATTTAAAAAAAAATTCTTGTTTTTATTTTGTTTATTTAATATTTATTATTTTTTATAAAAGTATATCTCATTATCTAACACAAACCATATAAATTCATATTTCAGACTTTCTGCAAAAATTATAAATATTCTGCAAAATTGCATCTTAATTTTTAGCAAATTAATCAGATTTTTTATAATTCTTTTGAGTATGCAGTTGTATAGTCTATAAAATTTTAGTAGAACAAAGTGCAAGTTTGAAGTTTCTAAAAAATCGCGTCGATCTTTAATAGTTTTTAATCTGAATGTATTACGCACTTTTTCCATACAAAAAAATTGTCGATCATACTTTGTATGGAAGAAAATGCGTTAAAAAATTGACAAAGATCAACGCGACTTTTTAGCAACTTAAAACTTACTTTTCTTTGTACTAAAACTTAATGCGCTATAAAACTACATACTCAAATAATTTCAAAAAACTTAATCAAAACGTTCAAAATTTAAATGCAATTTTGCAGAATTTTTATAATTTGTATCTTCATCGCAATTTATTCATGACATCGCAATGTTAATTGTTGTTATACAAGTAAATCGTCAAACTGTCAGGACGTGTTTTCTTTTCGCTCCGTATTTTGTGTAACAATAATCACACTCCGGCGACTTACGTTAATTAATTCATTCTGTTATGGTTAAGAAACCTTGAGACAATGGCTCTGCGTTATTATAATAAATGCATATTAAAATAATCAAGTAAACTATTCATTATGCTCAATCGAAGGTTCAGTGTGCCAAGTGCAAAATTTTCTCTCATTTAGCTTGTGTTGGTATGCAACAGCAGCGTTGCCGAATTGACGATTTCGTCGTCATTTTGACGTTTTTTTTTTAGCTCAATGACGTTTTGACGATTTTCCTCCTGTATTGACGATTTTATGTACACATA